AGATTTCTACCTCCTCGCTTTTGCAAATCTTAAAACCCTTGCAGCCTGACTTGCAACTCCTTCTATCAGCGTGAGTTCCCACCCGTCTTGACGTCATCCAAATTGGAACTTGTGTCTGATAGCCCAGTACTTATAGACCCTCGCGGAACTTACAATCTATATTTGCAAGTAGAGTCATCCTCTCTATCCGACATGTGACCTCAGCAACGGAAGGTGAAGACATTGGCGAGAGTGGAGGGCAAGGACATATCCTCTCTCCGATGGGTAGCATGCGTCCACGTACGCGCCCTACAGTAGTGGTCGTAGGACCGCCGAATGGAAAGTGTAGCGATTGATTGTAAAATTCTGTGACAGCGAATCTGTCCTTTGATTGAACAGTTTCTGGATGTATGTACTTATTAGCAGCAACCTATGCAAATACACGATTTGAATGACTCAACAGACGAGCGTTGCGAGAGATTAGCAGAAGACTCAGAGTGTTGATCAACGCTCGTCGCCCGGCCTTGAAATTTCCGCTCCTTGCAGTGTCCGGGCCGGTGAGCAGTGACGGAGACTGTAACTTTAGGGACAAACTTTGTATAGATTCCGCTCCCGAAGCAAGCATTAGTTCACACAGTAAATGTTCAAGCCCGTAAGCTCACTAGAAGATACCACTCGAGTATATGGGTCCCGCGCGCTGCCACTGAACCATGCTGCTTCAGTAGATGGCAAGAGCGCCCACAATCAGGCCAGTAAGTGGTTCGAGATGTGTATTCCCATTCAATGTCATTTGATTCATTGTTAAGTGCAGGTCGTTGCCAGTATGCTACATTATGTTCAGGTTTGATAGAGAGACAAAAGAAAAAAGAGAGGAGGTATAAGTTAGTCGTGATGAGAGAGTAGGAAAGGAGGCCGAGAGCCAGTAGGAGAGATGATGGAATGCTATATGCTACAAAACGATGTCGTTGATGATGTTGACGTTTCTAGAAGTGCGTGTCGTACGGAGGATAAGTCGAGAGACAGAGACAGACAGAGAGAGAAAGGTGAAAGGAGAGGAATTAGTAGCCAGCAGTGGGTACGATAGTTAGGCAGAGACGAAGAACAAGTGAAGAGGAACCGAAAGCCGAATAAGAAAGAAAGTTATCGATACACATGCGTTTGCAACAGACGCAGGGACGCTAAAAAGTTTTGAGAAAAAAGAAAGAAAAAAGAAACTAGGGATCAACCCCGTGCGCCTCAAGCCCTCAAGAACATCTCCACAGGAATAGGCTTCCTCCTCAATCTCTCGCTAGCACTGCTTCCGCTGCTAATACCAGTGGAAGCTGAGCTCGTAGAAGACGTGCTGGGTTTTCTTCGGACGTGCTTCTCTCGAGAGTTGTTAGGAGTGTACATAGCAGGCTTGGGCGACGTCGGCACCGGAGGCTTGGAGGATTTTGATGAGGCGCTCGCAGCAGCAGTCAAAGACTGCATCCCGAAATCGGAGAAAGTAGGTGACCTAGGAGAGCCAAAGGACCATGCGCTCGACGCAGATGGCGAGGTCGGTGAAGAGGGTATCATGAATCTTGTTTGCTTGGCTCCAGGTGAGAAAGGCACACTCGTCGAGGTAGCAGCTGAAGCAGAGGAACCGGAGGGCCCGACGACCACGACACCTCGCTTCCCTTTGCTGCTCTTCCCCTTCGTGCTGGCCTTCTCCTTCTTGGGACTGAAAGTGGGAGACAACGGAGTAGAGCTCAGAGAGCCGCGCAGATACATCCTAAACTTGGTCACTGCAGAGCTCGACGGGGTTTTCGGTGACTGAAGGTTGTTCATGGACGACAGCGTCGATGAGGACCATTTGGATCGGAGAGGGGGAGCCTGAAGGTACTGAGCATGTTTTTCTTCCTCGTCGTACTCGAAGTTCTCCAGGGGATACTCGTAGTCGTCGTATGATTGCTGTGGTTGTACATCATCGCCATCCCTAGTCTCAGTCTCGGACTCCTCCTCGATAACCTCCAGCACCTCAACGGCATCGGCAGGCGAGCCAGGCAACGAAACAGGGAATCTCAACTCCGAGTCCATGTCAAAGTCAACCTCAAACTGAACATCGAACTCGTCGAGCTCCGAAGGCTCGTCGTATTCCGAGGAAGAGGAAGAAGTGTGTGAGGTAGTGGACACACATGGAGAATGCGCGCTCGAAGGAGCAGCGTAGTATCCAAACAGCGACTCTTCGTCGAAATCATCTTCCTCGACGGTATCCAAAGGAACGACACTCATCCTTGGGAGAGGCTTTGCGATCATGAGGGAGGGAGGGCGGACACGGGGGCGGGATGGTTTTGCTTGTGTGGTGGGTTCCGGTGAAGGACAAGGGGAGGAGCAAGGGGAGGCTGACGCTGAGGATACGGGAGAAGGGGTGGTGGGTGGTGGCGGTGGTGCCCTGGTAGGAATCAAGAAACTCCTCCTTCCCCAAGCGGGGTCCAGCTGTGCACTCGGGAAACACGCTCTGCTCGGTGAGAACACGTTCTCTGGGATACTAGGCAGCGCCTTGTCCATCGGCTCAACGAAGGCACTTTGTCTCCTCCCAACGCTGGCTGGGTGCATCTGAGGCACCGACGAGTCGAGGGTGAGTAGGGAGCCAATTGCATGCGTGTAATAGTCATCGTCCGAGTACGCTGAGGATGATAGTGAGGCTGGTGATGGTGACCTTACGGGCGGGATAACGACGAAGGCCTCGGTGTCCAATGGGCTGACCTCTCCGTCCTCGAACTCCACCTCCGACTCTTCCTCTAACGGTGCCGAGAAGAAGTTTCCAAACGACAGAGTCTGGTCGGTATTCCTCTTAATGATTGTCAACGGCCTGACTGAAGCCCTCTTGCCCTTGGTAGTAGCGGAGAGCACAGGGCTTGCCTCAGGTGTAATGGGCAATCCACTCGAGGTTGAACTCGGCGATGAGAATGGCGAAGTAGGCGGGGAGAAGTGGTGATTTGAGGGTGTTGGGAGAGGTGGGTAAGGGAATTGGAATGACAACTGGGCAAAGTCTGGGGAAGGGCTGGTGGATGTCGAGCACGAGTCGTCTTCATCTACGTATTTGGGTTGACGGAGAAGACGGATATCAGAGCTATATGTACAGGCCTTTAGTCATGTCGTCAAGTGAACAAGTGAGGGAAACGTACGTTTTAATCCCCTTTACGTTTCTCGAACTAGCCTTTCGGCGAATCTTTTGAGTCTGTTGTTTCTTTAGGACTGCAACCCTTGAGTGAGCGAGACTGAATAGAGATAGAAGTGTAAAAAAATACTCACAAGAAGGAGTCATTGTCATGGTCATCTCGAATTCTAATGGTAAGTCGTCAAATGCACAAGTGCGAGGAAGTCAGAACAAAAAGGTCAAAGCGGACGTCTCGTCGCTGTCGTAAAACGAGAGAGAGAAGGAATGGGAGAATACCCCAGCCGTACTCGAGTTATTATATTTTTCATCGTCAATAGAGACAATAGCGCGGCAAGGATAATGGGAGGTACGACCCATTGTCTTCCGTCAGCCCATTGTCCGCATTGTCCTTGAGCGCTTATTTCGGTTTTTTTGAATGGGAACCCCGGATGGGGAAACTCCTGATGCTTTGAGCTGAAAACAGAACCTCAGTGCATCTTAATTTGAAATAGAACGGTTCAGATGCATATAGAGGACATGAATGGGGCGTTATAGAACTCGAGAGCAGCGGGGATGGCGGTGAGAGCAAGGTCGCGCCGTGTTTGTTTGTACACCCGTAACCCCGGCCCGATCAGCTAGTGTACAAACAAACCAAAGGTCCCACAAGCGCCCACAACATTAGATACACACGCCTGCGAGCCCAAGTTATCGCCAGTGGAGAACATAAAATCCAGTAGATCAAAAGCCTTGAGCTCAAAAATTTGGGTTGACAAAGACATCTGGTTCAGCCTCTCATTTGAGTGGGCCGAGTTGAGGTTCGACTAAGTCTTGATCCTCATGCGTCAGTCCTATAAAAAAAAAAGGCTCGACTAGACGAGACGCTAGAGTTGTTTCGAGTTGACCTTAGCAGGGCTCCGTTCATATGACAACAATCCATGAGTACACGAGGCAAAACTTTCGTTATTTTTTATTTGTACACCCCAAGTGTCCAAACAAACGAAACTAGCGACCATGCACCCACAAGTACCCACAACTCAGATCCGGGATTCCGCACCGAGTTCCTTCAACTCCCTGACGTCATCTCTCCAAATCGTCATCTCTTCACTCTTTCGCGTGTTTTTTCCCCTTCATCTCCGTCGTCATACAGCAAGTGTGCATGATAGTCATTGAATAGGAAAACTGATAAGCACTGGCAGCATGTTACGTCTCCGCGGCGTCGTAAACGCATGTCATCGTTGTGCTGTCGATGTCAAAGCTCCAGTCTGCTCCAGCTCCATCTCGTTTCAAAGCTCCAAAATCATCAGTAATGCGGGAACGTTGTGTCCACGACGTCGACTCATGCAGTGACAAGCATGGGTACGAATACGTTGTCGACAACGTCTGACACTGGATTATGACAGCGTGTTTTATACTTAGTAGCCACTCGCTCTCTATAGCTCACTGCAAAAATAGTCGACATCGATATCATCTCGGGTTTACCGCACGTCCCCCTCGGGGCCTCTCCACACTCGGGAATTAGAATGTTAATGACAGAATCTGGCATCTCCAGTGCCTTCTACGTTCTATGAACTTCTATAGGCTTCTACATATAGTTCCATAGGGGGCTACCCCATTCGAGTTTATTGTATTAGGGCCGCAGCCACTACTCCCACGGAATCGATGCCCATATGACGAAAATCTTCCCAGCAGGGATTCTCCAGAGATCTCCCAAGGGGCCAAGACTCGAAGCTTCCAGACTTGCAGTTTACGACGTAACCTCGGGGGAATCAATGTGATCAGCGCGCCTCGGGGCATTGTCGAGACGGGGTTACTTGATTGTCCCGGGCTATAAGCAGCCCACAGGGTGATGAGTTCGAAGCAAAAGAATCCACAAAACCAAATGATGAATGAGTCGTCAACATAGCAGCAACTTGTTTCGATCAAGTGACCTCGGGGTACCATCACTGATGGAAGACAACACCGTCGATATGGGCCCCGCGCGCTACCACTGCGCCATGCTGCTTGACACCATAAGTATAATAGAAGCTCACTTGTACTGATACATAGACGGGAGAATCCTATATTCCGTCGAACAACTTGAACCTGGTTGACCAGGGCAACACCCTCAAGACACGCTCTAGCCCTGTCACGAACAACACAATCCAAAACCACCCTCGAAACGGAAAAACGGGAGTGCGGGTATCTCCCTCAGACTCGAGTCTCAGTCTGGAATGGAATGGAATGGCAAGAAAGTTGAAGAGACCTTAAATTGAATGAACGTCCCATGACAACCGAGGCCCTGACGACGACGTGCCGCCAACTGGAAGCCAGACCCCCAGCGACATGATATGATCGGAATGACGCGACGCGACGCGGTCGTGAGTCCTTTGCGTGAGCATGGGTTGCCAGTTCGACCGTTCCAGACCTTTTTGAAAAGCTTCTAAATTCTCAGAACTGAGACTGAGACAAGGGGAAAACAAATCTGCAGGAAACTAGGGTTTTGGGCGGCATCTCGTATCTGTATTTCAAGAAAGTGTCAGTCTCGGAAGGGTCAGGTCCTCCTAAATATTAATGAGCAAAACGAGAAGGGTTTTGAGCTCAATTTGCCACCGGAAGAAATGATTACCCAAAATTGAGGTACTTGCATGAATTTCGACAAAGGGCCAAGCCTGCGTATGCCTGCCATCACGATATAGGGACGAAATCGAGTCCGAAAGGTGTTAGTGCGTTTAATTTGATGTCGTTAATGCTAAGGTGATGGTGAAGTGTCCGGATTTCAGTCGGAACCTAGGAAAAACGATGAGGGCGAGGAGTGAAACATTGCGCAGCGACCGGTGACCTGACATTCGGCGGGAACGAGTAAAGGATTCGCGGATGCCAGAGAGGGTAAGTAGCTTAGTGATAGCATTTGACCGCGCCGAAACTTTGGAACACTCTGGCCCGAGGCTGAAGGAGGCTGAAAGAACTTTTTTCTTGGGACACTGCAAAGGCATACATATGAGAATCAAGCACTATAAATGTCGAAAGAACCCAGAGATAGACCGAGATTCCAGACGGGAAATGAATGCAGGCTTGAATGTGAGTCGGTTGGACAATCCAAACGCCGAAATGGGCTGACAGGGTGCGGCTTACACATCCTGAAGCTGAAGATTGCTGATTACTCCCGATGGCAGATGCTCGCGGACGATATCTGAAATTGAGAGGTTGGCATCCGAGAGCTTGGATGCAGCACATTGATGTTCCGGACCTATAGTAAGCCTGACTTGGCGAGAGGAGGGAGAAGGACGTACTTCCGTTCGATGCATTCCGCATCTTTGAATGGAATCTAGCTACCCTTGCCGTTTTTCAACCTTGAGTTCTTTTGCGGCGTCACAGTGGAGTTCGACTGAAAGAAAGGAATAATGAATGGGCATGATGGTGTTGGAGACAATGACATGCCTTTGTACCTGGTCCGTGGCAGTGCGGCATGGCAGGCGAAACATCATTCTTCCCACGGTTCGTCGTTATGTCATGCTTGCCCCCCAACTATATATACCCGCGCTTGCTTTCGCTCGACCACTACGCTCCCGCACTCCACCGCGTCTCTCAAATTCCTTGCGCTCGCGCACTTCACGATAATCACGACAACCACTTTACCCGCGCCCTCCCTCCTGCTACATTGAAAATGTTGACAGTCAACCCGGCATCGGCCACAGCCTCTACGACAGCATCGGTGGGCAGCACCCCGAAAATAAGCAACGCAACACGGATATGGGAGTTGAGCATTCATTGGCCTGTATATAGCCAATGTGGAGTCTGGGATCCAAGAAGCAAGGGCGTGGACATTTGGGAATGCGTTAGAGATCGTGAGTATCGTGTTATTGTCTCTTGTCTTCGAATGTTGACCGTTGACGTCGTTCATGAAGACGTGTCAGTATCTGGTACACAACCACCCAACGCCAACTACTGGCGATACCTGGCGAGGCGATAGGCTAGCCTTTAGCTGGAGGACCCACTACCCACTCGGCTGACACTGTTCATGTCAGCCGGCACCATATTATCAGAACGGAAACGCATGCCACTAAACTTGCTCTCTGTCGACACCGACAATCGTTATTCTCCTCTGCGCAAAAAGCACACGAGCCGCCCTCGTCATGCAGCGCACACGAAACCCCATTGTCATTGTCACCAAACAATGCTTCGCAACCTTGTAGGTTGCAGGCTTCACCCCTCGATCCTCGAATACACACACAAGGGTCGCTGGGCGACCCCTCCTCGCTGCTCGCGTCCATGATTTTCTTTTTTTTTTGGGTTTTATGTCTTTCTTGGGTATATAGTTGGTTGATTGGGATCCAGTTGTTCAGGTTTCTTTGTCGCCCTTGTTTTGGTTCTTTCGTCGTTGACATATAGCACGGTATCCTGCCTTTACCCGATTTCCCTTGCTAGCTTTACTCTAGCAGTTGTAAGTAGTATGTATTCGTAGCTCACCCACTCTCACTCACACACGGCACAGTCGATTGCACGCAAGTATCTAACTTATTCAATCAACATGCTTATTTGCTTCCCTGCTCGCTCTCCGACGTGATGCATGGACCCTTGTCAATCTCTCAGTTATTCCGAGATATCTCGAGTTCGTCCTCTGAAGTGAGCTGAGAAATCGGGGCATCGATGATGCAGATGTGATGTCACTTTCGTGTAATCCCATAAAGCACAGTTGCGGTCAATTTCCGGTTTCACATCCCGCACCCGAGGTAAGTAAGTTGGGTGAGGAGGCTCCATATTAGTGGCCAGCGCTGGCCTTCTATCTCTTGCCCCACTACTATCACTATCTATGGAGTATCGTGTGAGGAAAACTACAAGTTGCTTGGTTTGGAATGAAGGTTTGATTTCCTGGACTGGTGACGCGACGGGATATCTACTGCTAGAGGCTAAGGCTTTTGATTTCTTGGCATTTCTGGCGATTTCGTGGATCTGAATCTGGGGTCTGGGGTCGAGTGAGCTCGGGTCCTTGACCATTGACGAGAAGGCTCGAGAACAATACCGTTCATACAGTACCGCCGACCGGAGTTCAAGAAATCAAGCCACCAAGAGAAAACCTGCCAACTGGGGACCGAACGTCTAATTTAGTCTCTCAACTGACCTGACGGCTTCCATTCAATGATTGTGGTCAGCGGAAGATACCGATTACAATTGACTGAAATAGCTACTAGTACTACACGTTACACTGCAGCTGTCTCGCTACTAGTACAGCACATTTCGGTAACAGAATGGGGATACGGGAGGGCACGCCTGGGCCTACTCAAGCTCAAGTACCGCTCGAGTTGTTAGTGGCTTCTTTTTTCGTACCCCAAACACGTCGAATACCGGTTTCGAGGCAGCTCTAGATCGAACAAACGAACCTGACGCTCCAACTCGAGCTACATGCCGACTCGGGGGCTACACGGCACGGGAGTTACAGCAGGTCCAGCCGGCGGGAATATCTGCGACCGAACAATTCAGGAACCGGGACACCGAGCAATCATGACTATTAATACTATCAGTCATTGCCCATGTCGGGACGATGGAGAATCGCCTGAAACTCGGGGTGACTCTCAACCTATGTCTTGATATAGACCTCAAGAAAGAAGGGTGCTCCTGGAATCACGGTGTCGGTGATATTCTATCATTAGATATCAGCTAAATCTGAATGTAGCTTCGCTTTGACACACTCGGGAACTCGAGACTCGGAACCCTATGTACAATTTCATATGATACTTTACTTGTGCTGGACCGGAGTCGCGAACCCCGAGGATTCAAGATGTCGCTGGTAGTATTCGGGGCCACAAAGGGCCACAAAGGGCCACAAAGGACGTGATATCGCCTATGTCCGAGTCCCAGATCGAGAAGTGGGAAGAGATCGTGCCAAGGAGGGCGGGAGAGGCGGGTTCTTGATCCTTGGTTGATGATGTTACGTCGTGTGCAAACCGTAACCGGTCTTAACTTGTCGTACCCATCTATCAGTACGAAACCTCGAGGACGGAATCGAACAGCTTGCGAATCAAGGGTCTTCATTGGTTCTAATTCTGGTGTCGTTTGAGGACTTCATGTGGATACATGGCGAACCATGGGATATGATCTTGTGAGTTGCCACGACTCGTCGGATTATTACTGTTTTTGAGAAGTTGTGTGCTCTGAGCTCATGAATTATCGTCATCAGCTACGCCATGCTGCCATGAGATCGAAGGATGATACGATTTTGCGAAGCTTCTAACTGCAGGCGACATTCGATTGATCATTGACACGTATTCCGATCCCACTGGACATAAGTGCGTAGTAGGGACGCTTTTCGGATAACCCGGAACTCGTCAAGCTATTGGCATTGAGTTGTTCAAGAAGGTCCGAGCAGGGTTTCACTCAGTAGGCAGAGGCCAGGACTCAGTACTCAGGACTGAGACGTCGTCACTGGTTATCCCTGCATGCTCTGTTACGTCCAAGGAGGAAGGAGAGATGTACTGGGGGCTGAGCGCTGATCATTGCAAGAGTGCCGCGGGAAGGGGGATGTTGACATCAGGAAGCTAACAGGATACCAATCTAAATGGACGTCGACGGCGGGAGGGACCGAAGGAGATCAAGGGGATGTGGTGGAGGCTCCGAGTCGGAAGGACTCCGGTTGGTCGTCGTCTGATTTATCTCTAGTATCAAAGTTTACTGATACAGTTGTGTTAGTCTGCATAGGCTCCTTTGAGTTTAGTTGAGGTGGACGTTTAGGGGAGGGGAACAGTGTGGCCCCACCGGGGGACCCAGGAAGAACTTAAGATAGAGTGCCGTTTCGACTTTCCAGATTTTTGGAAGCACTGTGATCATTGACAATCTACAGAACCCGACTATTCCCTCGAGTGGATTACTCCGCGTTGGGTGAACCTGGTGCCTGTAGAACGCGACGCCCAGAGATCAGGGTCCAGACGCGTTTGTGGCGTGGGAAGACCAATGTCCTTTGGCTGGTTACTTTCAGTGTCCGTCTCCCTCAACTCATCTCTCTCATTACATCGCTCACGGTGTATTTCT